CGGCGTTGCCAGCCCGCGTGCCTTCATTGTGCGCGTTATTTTCCCAGGGCAGGTTGCAGCACCGCAAGCACCGAAAGGGTTTGGGCGGCTGCACTGGCCTTGGGTGCCTTTGCCTGATGCCAGGCAGCAGAAGCGGAGTGTTCTCCCGGTGTTTACATTCCATTCCCGGTTTTAGTGGACATCACTCTATTGCACAATATTTATACTAAATAACTAGCAATTTAGATTAAAACAGCTTATCGTGAGTGTAGGCAGTTCAAACGTGCGAAGAGTGAATAAGCTATGCAGAGACTAATAGAGCAGCTAGTGGGTGGGAGTATGTGCATCCAGGTTAGGAGAGTTTAATCACCTCCACTAGGGCATAGGTTTTGATTTTTAACTGAGGCCTGCTGATTTGTACCAGGATCTGTCTGGCATAACCACTCTTGAGCTACTGGACAGCTGGTAGCCAGTGCTACTCGGACACAAGGAAAATAGTGCAGGAGACACCGTATATTTGGCAATATAGACTGGAGACTATCACCAAGTGATGCTGGACTGTAACTTTGCATTCTGCAGCAGTCAGGGTGATATGTACAGCTAAGTTAGATGTGCAGTTTTGTATTTGTGCAAACTAAAACCCACTTGACTTAAGGACCATGCTTCCTTGAGAACAGTAAAAGCTGCCTGTTGTATCTGGTTTACTAATTGCTGGATTGTTCATGGCAGTGTCTGGCTAGTTTGTTTTTTGTTGTAATGGAAAAGATTCTTATGATGAATTTAGAAAAAAACTCACTCCAGGAGGTGTGGAAGATGGCGTGCTCTCTACAGTAACCAGAGTTCACATCTAACTTCTTTAAGCTCCCTTATGAAGAACTTTCAATATCTAGTTACAGCATGTGATATCTCCGTTCTCGGAGTGTCATACAAGCAAGTTAATAATTAATGCAGTTTAGCAAGAGGCTGTCTTGATAAGGTATCTGATGTACTGTGAGTTGCATGTTTTGGTCATTTGAGTTCATCTTGCGTTTTCAAAGTTTTAATAGATGTTTCTTCCAAGTTGGTAGTTTCTAGTATCTCCACCACATTTTCTGTCAAGTCATCCTTTCAGCTCTTCGAGTCAGGAGCATCTCTTAGAAGACTTCCATTTCACCTTAGACTTACAAATCCTTTCTCTGTTCTTTCTGAGAATGCGCTTCCCAAGTTATAGGCTTATTCTTACCCGGTTTGTATGTTCCATGCACTGTTGTGTGTGGTTCATTGCCCTGGTGTTTCGGCCAACTCAGTATCTCTTCCCATGGTTTTGTTTCTTGCCCTCTTCCTCTGTTTTCCTCTATTACCAAGTAGAATAAAATTTTAAAACATTTCAGAAGTTTGAGGCACCTCTGATCCACAGGTCAGAGCAGGAATTCATCATCTGTTTCAGTTTGGGTACTCTGATCTGTGAAGATCATAGAGCATCTGTTACCTCTGTAATAATGCTGCTTATGTTTTTGTTTTAAAGAGGGCCCGTACGGCATTTTTGCTGGAAGAGATGCATCCCGAGGTCTTGCCACTTTCTGCCTGGATAAGGAGGCTGTGAGGGATGACTATGATGACCTCTCTGATCTCAATGCTACACAGCAAGAGACCTTGAGGGACTGGGAGTCACAGTTCACTTGTAAGCAATTTTAAACCTATTTACAAAGAAGTTGCTAACTACCATGTAATAAGGGAAGCAACGGTTAAAAGGCTGTTACCAGCTGGAAGCATCGGTCTGCCAACTTAGAGTTAATATCTCAGTTTGCTAAGTATTACTAGAATTATTGTTACTCAGAAGAATTAAGAGAAATGTCAGGTTTTCCTTCTGCGTTCTCCCTCCCTCTGCTCCTTACAGAACTGCAGGAGAGATGGAAGCACCCTGTCATAGGATAAGATCTGTAAGACCACCCAAAAAGTTGTCAGGAATTGGAAGTTCCTGGTTTGATTGGAAATTCATGGGTTTGATACAGTTCAGACTCTATAGAGATGACTAGCTTTTAATGCTCTGAAAAAATGAAGCTTACATCCTGTTCAGCTTCTCAGAAACAAGAGTAACATTTGAATTATTACCTCTTGGGTTTTTTGAGTTTTGAAGACTGTTTAAACTAGGCCATTTTCCCCTTGGAGCTCTTGATATAACTTTTTTTACTCTAAAATTATTCTGCCTGGCCTTGCTCATGGCTTTATCAGATTCATGGACAACTGTATCCAGCTGATTTTCTCCCAGAAGATGATCAGGAATGAGCAAATGCTACCTCTGCACTTGCAAGCAGCTTGGGCATTACCATGCCAGTGATGGCCAGAGTGGCAGAGGAAAAAGGGCAACTTGCACATTTGAGATGTTTGTTGTAAAATTAACAGAAGGAAGTCACTTTCGTAGTTGCCTTGTTTTTCTATGCTTAGTATTAAAAGTTTACAAAAGGCAATTCCAACTGGTTTGTGTCCTGTGCCTCAACTTGCTGCTCAAAAAGGAGAACTTCGAACAACAGGTTTATGGAAATTGCTGTGGTAACCTTGTACCAGGGCATGCCCACTGGTATTTTTTTTCTCTTACTGTGTATCTTGTTGATGAAAAATATTTCCTCCATATCTCATGATGCGTTTTAGGCAAGTGAACACCAAAGGGATTAATTCTACTCAGATAAGACAAAAAATAAATGTATCAGTTGTTTGTCTTGATGAATTTAATTTTTTTATATGTATATATGATGGAAATTGCATATTCAAAAAAGTAGTATAGTGGAAAACAAATGGTTTTTGTTTTTAAATCTAGTGTTTGGTATTAAAGATTTACTCTCGCTAGTTAGAACGGAGCTTTCCTCCACATCATGTCGTTAGAACATCTCAGTTCTGACCTGCTGTGCCCCTACTATTTTGGCACTCTTCCTGCCTTCATCAAGGCTGTTAATCACGCCACACTGAATGGCTGTTTTACGACGCTAACAAGTGTGTCGCAGAAACCAGAACTGTGCTGCCATTTATCTCACCTGCTCTGGTGTGTGTGAGTAAATCTGCGTGCCGAGAGTCGGCGTCAGGACTGGCAGTGAACTGCACTCTTTTTATTATGATGTTTCTAGTAAACTTGGCAATTAGTTGCTCTAAATTCTTATTAATTATAGCAGCACTAGTCCAAAATACCTGTAGTCAGAGGCATCTCCTGCTTTGTTGAAGCTTACAGATGGGCTACATAGCTCTCAGTTCTTACATATATATGATCTTGGCGGTTTTAAATGCTCAGAGAGACAGAATAAGGCAGAGGCTTAGCTGTATAATCAGATAACAGTCTCTACCTTTGGGAGAAGGAATCTCTCTTCTGTCCTGTTGGATGTTTTCAACATATATTACAAAAAATAAAAACCCTTGAAAGTTGTGTGCGTGAGTGTATAATACATAGCGTAAATATTCTGACAATGCCATTGATTTAAAAACCAGCTTTGGCATTTGGAATAGAAATCCTCTAAACCAAGGTTCTGTTTCTTTAGCTGGATGAGTCTCTTATTTTACATGTATCTTTACATTCATTCATCTTTTGGCTTAGGCAATAGAATTATAGTTACATTGACTTTGCAGGTTACTTACGCTTAACCACAACATGCATAGTAGTCCAGATAGTTGATTTCGGCTTTTCTCCTTCCCTCCAGTGTTTGGAACAAGAGCTGTTTTGTTATAATGTAGGCACTTTGTTAATTCAGGAAGCAGACATAGGAGTTAAAAATGGTATATCTTCAGGGCAGAATAATGATTTGGATTCTCTTTTTTTCCCCAGTTAAGTATCACCATGTTGGTAAGCTGCTGAAGGAAGGGGAGGAACCCACTGTATACTCAGATGAAGACGAGAAAGATGCCCAGGATGCAAAGAAAGACTAGAGGGTGCAGTGAGGAACAATCTATTTTTCAGTCATAACGGATCATTTGTAACATTCCACTTCTGTTTTACAAGCTGCAACAGCAGCAATGCGTACAAAAGGTCTAGAGTTACGGTGACTTGTTTCTTTTCAAAGGTTTCCTTTTCAGGTTCATTGGTGAACTACTAAAGGTCTAGGATCTGTCTTCCTTTAAACTTGCATAATCTGAAGTATGCACGGAAAATGTCTGTGCTAAAGTAAACCGCAGTTTTGGCAATAAAGGACTATTACGGTTTTTCTGCTATTACCATTTAGTGCAGAGTAGGTTGAAATCCAGTTTTTCGTTAACAACCTAGCACTGTAGACACAAGCACAAGAGTAATTTCACATCTGCAACACAAATTCCACTAAGTCTTGTTTTGTGTTAGCTTCTGCAGGATCTGGGCCCTGGGTCGTAATTCCTTTAGAAAAGGGACTATATTTTATTTGTCCGTTAAGCATCATACTCATTTGCGGTGCAATGTAATTCAATATTATGTAAGATAATTTGGCTTTTAAAGAGTTACATAGTGGCTTACAGATGAAACACTAACTGCTTTTAAAAAAGATAATTTTTGAGAAGTTAAATCACTTTTAGATACGTAAAAAATTAATAAGGACTGATGAATACTCAATGTATTCAGTGATGCATAATTATGCACGGATTAATATTTTTTGTTTACTTTTGAAGCACATCTGAAGTTTTACAAAGGGTTAGATATCTAGTGTAACTAGGCATCCTTAAAAACCAGGTACACTGTGAAGTGTGACTTGGCTGGACTACTGGTCATTCACTTTTCCTCCTAGTAAAACTCTTCTGTGAATTTTAATGAAATGATACTGAATGGGGAAAATCAGCTGCTATTGATTCCTAGGCCTAAAAAAGACTTGCTGGTATGGCATGATTAACAAGGGCACTTGTACATGCAGCTTTAACTCGCAGAAAAAAGCTACTGGTCAATGTAACTTACACAAGTTTCCTGTACAAAATAAAGTCATATGGTGTAAGCCGTTTCTGTGTTGAGGCCTTTATTGCTTTGGAATGTTGCCATTAAAAGAAACGGCACAATCTCATGCACAACCAGCAAGGCTGTAGCTGGGGCACCTGACCTTTGAATTGCTTTTTACTTACTTGCTCTCTTAGCTCACGTCTGTGCTTAATTACTAGGTTTGTTCCGACTGTGTAACCTGGTCTCCTACCAGAGGGGGCTGGATAAATAGATTTCACCCAGGAAAAATGTAAATATGTCCATCATCCAAAATACTTCTGCAAAACTTTCTCAGAAGTTCCAAGGAGATAACTAAAGATTTGCTGATCGCTCGTAAACATTTTTCTTGTCCAGGCAATTCTGCTTGGGTGCCTGTCTGGTATAGTTTCCCCTATTTAGTTTCTCTGGTTTGGCCCTTCAGCGGAGTTGTTCTGATTTGGTAACACAACCAAAACAATAAACTGTGGAGTGTTCCTTGAACTGGAAGTGTTCAAGGCCAGGTTGGATAAGGCTTTGGGCAACCTGGTGTAGTGGGGGGTGTCCCTGCCCAGGGCAGGGGGGTTGGAACTAGATGATCTTTGAGGTCCCTTCCAACCCAAACCATTCTATGATTCTATGAACTGAGTCCTGAGCAGGAAGGTGTAAACTAGGCAAAATGGCTCGGAAGGACAGTGCAGTGCACAACAGCACTTTCATGAACAAGTTGACACAACACGTTACAGTGCCTGAGACCATCTGTGGTGAGGATGACTGACCTGCCTTCAGTCCCAACACTACCATGGCGTTTTCTTTTGGTTACACCGGGCCTTCAAATGGAGAGTGCAGTTGTTTGACAGACAGCTTGCATAAAGTGGTACTGTATGAACTACCTAATGAAGGTCTAGAGACAACCATAAATCTTGTCATGACCTTTGTGTTGCTATTTTATTTTTAGAGACATTTATACTCTTTGCAAACTACTACTAATGGTTTACCTCAAATCAGAAATGTGCTTTTATTTGTTTAAGGCAGAAAATAAAATACTCTTGCATAATGGTGGTGTTTGTTTTTATTTGCTTCAACTAAATGTGATACTTAATTCTCCCTCAATGCTTCCAGTTTTATATTGTCTTTCTCTCGTGTCTTACAGTACTCAGCGCACAGATTGAGTATATGTTGTAGCTGAATGCCTGTGAATGTGGTTCTGTAGTATAACTTTAACAGAATATTAAATATAGAACATGTTCATGTTGTATAACATGCTTTGCTGTTGCAAAACCAGCATTAGGCATAAAAAGGCCCAAGTAATTGTTAACACTGAGCAAAAGCTGGAGCTTTGGAAGGCTGTCGTGTAGTGGAACTAGGCCAGGCTGTAACCTACCCTCCAGTGGACCCAACCATCTAACTCTAAGTTAGTCCATAACATATCCTGAGGAAACACTATTTTAAGTATTAAACTGCATGTTGGAACATGATGCATCACAAAGAACAATAATAACAAATAAAAACTCCACAGAAAACTGGCAATAACACAAGACAAGGCTTAATGTTGAGGATCCGTGCCTCTTGGGACAGAAATACTACACTGTGGTACGACCACTACTTTTTCAGAGAATGCAAAGATAATTTATTGTGAAAGGGGAAGAAGCAAGTCACAAAAGCAGTGGTTTAACGAAGCAGCAGGCACGGATTTTATTTTATTCTAAAGCGCTGGAGAAAATTGATGGGTTTCAGCTTCTTTTTCACTCTGCATTTATTGCAACTCGATCCCTTCCTTGAACAGTGACTGGCTGCAATGACTAAGCAAAAAGAGCTGCACCAGGCAGCTTATGAGACTGTACCTCAGCCAAGTAGGGCAAGATGACCAACTAAGAGCAGAGACTGTCAGCAACCTCCCTCCTCTGCAGTGTCCAAACACCCGTTTACTTCTGCGTGTCATGAGGGCATACTTCAGGAGCTGCAGGACAAATCAAAATAATTGAGCAGTATCTCGTTTCCAACCAGTTCTGGCATACTGCCAACTGCTTTGTAAAATTCAGATATTCTTTTATCTGGACTCTATCTGCTCTTAATCATCTTTGTTAGGTCTTACTTCATGCTGTTTCAGTTAAACAAAAAAAAAGTTCAGTAATGAATGCTTATGCCCAGAGTTATGTAAAGGGTTTTACAAAAGGTGAGGCGTTTCTATGCGTTGCCTGGAATCGCTGGATTAAGAAGAAAGGGCTTTATATCATAATTGCTGTACTCCTGTATTTCAAGCAGATGGACTGATGCAATAATTAACATTGTGTATTTCTGCTTTAATAACAGGCTGTAGGATTTTGACCTCAGCATTCAGCACGAGGTACAATGACCTGGCCGTGTGTTTCTAATAACAAGCTTAGTTCAGACAGCTCCCCTGAGAAGACTTCTGTTCTCACTAGCTCTCTTTGGAGGCATTTTCTTTAGTTCTGTACAGAAAGTCAGATTTGATTGCAAGATCTGCAGGTGCAAGGCCCTACTTCATACATGTCTGAGCAAACGGTTTCCATTTAAAAAAAAAAACAAAACCAAACAAACAAAAAAAAACCCAAAACCCAACCAACCTCTTGAAACACCAGCCAAGTACAACAGCACCCACCTGCTGCTGTTCAGCAAGCTGAAAGGTGTAAAATTAGGCCAGCAATGTTACAGATT